TACTGAAGCTATTTCACAATACAGAAAAAAAATGGAATATTCCTGAAGTTATTTTATGAAGCAAGGAAACTTTGACAACAAAGTCAGAAAAAACATTCACAAAAAAAAAAATTGCTCTATGAAGAGGAATGTGGCATCAGATTGGAGGGAGACTCATCAATAACCTCAGTTATGTAGATGACACAACCTTACTTGTTGAAAGTGAGGAGCACTTGAAGCACTTGTTGCAGAAGATCAAGGAATGTAGCCTTCATATGGATTACATCTCAATATCAAGAAAACAAAGATTCTTACCACTGGACCAAGAGTCTGTGTCACGATGGATGGAGAGGATACTGAAACTGTCAACAGCTACATCTTGCTTGGAACATCTTGCTTGGATCCACAATTAACACCCTTGGCAATAGCAGTCAGGAAATAAGTAGACACACTGCACTGGGAAAATTTACAGTTAGGGCCTTTTCAAATTATTGAGGAGTAGTGATGTCAGCTTGAGAACTAAGGTGCATCTGATTCATACCATAGTCTTTTCAATTACTAGCTATGCATCTGAACAATGAATAGGGATGACAGAAAAAGGATAGATGCCTTGAGCTGTGGTGTTGGAGAAGAGCACTGAACATCCCAAGAACTGCTAAGAGAATGAGCAGATATGTCTTGGGGAGGCTGCAGCCAGAGTGCTCTTTGGAGGCAAGAATGATGAGGCTTTGCCTCACATAGTTTGGACATAATTGCTAGGAGGTGCTATTCCTTGGAGAGGGACACGATGTTGGGAGGGGGTGGAGGGTCAGCAAAGGAGAGAGGAAGACCCTCAACAGGTGGACTGACATGGTGATTACAAGAGCATGGGCTCTTGCATGTCAGGAAGTGTAAGGACGGCTCAGCACAGGACTAGGTTCAGATCTATTGTTCATAGTGTCATTATAAGTTGTATTAGACTTGATGGCACCTAACAACAACAAATTGCATGGGAGCAGATTGCCCAGACTTCTCCCGCAAGAGGATTTGAACTGCATGCCTTCAGGATTACAGCGCAGATTATTTCCACCAATTTTTAACATACCATATTTTTAACAAATAGGTCTGTCTTGGAGAGGGTGAAACCAAATGTCTCCTTGGAGGCAAGGATTTTTAAGCTCTATCTATCATACTTTGGGCATGTGGCCACAAGGGACCCAATCCTTAGAGAAGGACATCGTGCTTAGAAGGGTGGAAAGATAGTGTAGGAGAGGAAGACCTCGGATGAGATAGATTGATGCAGCAGCCAGGGAATAGGGGTTGGTGTGTCGGAGTCAGTGAGACTGGCTCAGGACAGGGTAGACTTCAGAGCTACTGTACATAGGTAGGTTCGCTATGAGTCACAGGCGACTCGACAGCACACAACAACAACTTGTAAAAAAGGAAATAGCATTTTCAGCTCTAGTACCTTGAATTACAGAATGAAAAAGTTTTGGCATTGTTGTTGTTGTTATGTGCTGTCGAGTCGCTTGCGACTCATAGTGACCCTACTATGTACAACAGCTCTAAACTCTGCTCTGTCCTGTGCCAAACTCATTGTTTCCGACACACTCATCCCCATCCCGATCGCCACCGAATCAATCCACCTCCCAGAGGGCCTTCCCCTCCTGCGCCTGCCCGCCACCCTTCCAAGCATGATGTCCTTCTCCAACGACCGGTCTCTCCTTACAACATAACCAAAGTATGTCAAACGAAGCCTCAGAATCCTTGCCTCCAAGGAGCAGCCCGGTTTAAACCTCTCCAAGATGAATCTGTTTGTTTTCTTAGCAGTCCATGGTACCCTCAGCACTCTTCTCCAACACCAAAGCTCAAAAACATCAATTCTCCTTCTATCCACCCTGGTCATTGTCCAGCTCTCTGATGCATAACAAGTGATTGCAAAAACCATGGCCTGTACCAAATGCACCTTAGTCTCCAGAGACACACCATTGCTTTTCAGTACTTTAGAGAGATCCCTAACAGCAGATTTTCCCATAGCAATACGTCTTTTAATTTCCTGGATACTGGTGCCAAGAGTGTTGATTGTGGAGTCAAGCAAACTAAAGCTGTGAACAATCTCAATTTCTTCACCATTCATCCTGATTGCTGCCAATTGGTCCAGTGGTGAGAATCTTTGTATTCTTGACATTGAGCCTCAATCCATATTGAAGGCTGCAGTCCTTGACCCTCTGCAGCAAGCGCTTCAGGCCCTCCTCAGTTTCAGCAAGCAGGGTTGTGTCATCTGCATAACGCAGATTGTTTATGGATCTTCCACCAATCCTGATGCCACATTTCTCCTCATAGAGCTCAGCCTCCCGGATGATATGTTCTGCATACAGGTTGAAAAGGTATGGAGACAGGACACATCCCGGGCTTATGCCCTTCCCAATTTTGAACCATGTAGTGTTTAGTTGCTCTGTTCTGACGACTGCCTCTTGGTTTAAGTATAGGTTTCGCATTAGCACGATCACGTGTTCTGGGATTCCCTAAAAACCCCCTCCCACACAGGTAAAAAGCAGAGGAACACTCCCCAACCCCCCACCCCCACAAAGGCTACGCGAAACTCGGTCAGAACGCTTAGAAAGGACAGAAGGCAGGCGAAAGGACAAGACACCTCAGCAGAGATAAAAACCCGCGTACACACAGGTAAAAAGCAGAGGACCTCCCCAAGGCTGCGTGAAACGCTTAGAAAGGACAGAAGGCAGGCGAAAGGACAAGACACCTCAGTAGAGATAAAAACCCTGCCCACACAGGTTTTGGTATTACTGGTCTAATAATCACTAGTGGAAACCCTGAGACAGGCTTTTTAGTCACTCTTCACTCTGGAAGCTATGAAGCCAAAATCACTTCTATGACTCAACTTTCATCCAAATAATAAACTTTTAACGTGATCAGTAAGAGGAACTCTGTTGGACTAGTGATGAGGAGTTCTACCACCAACTCAAGGGCACATGGTTCAAATCCTCCAGCTACTCAGTAGGAGAAAGATGAGCAATCTCCTCCCATACAATTTACTTCCTCTAAAAATAAGCTGGAGCTATGGGTCAGTTCCAACTTGAAGGTACACAATAAGAAGGTGTTCAGAACACACTCCTTAGATCAGTCAAACATATAGGATCAAAAGGGCAACATCTGCCCAGATGGGAAACACAGGGAGGAAGTGGGAAAAGCAGTGTTATAATCTGGGGAATTATAATCAATGTCACGAAACATACAATATGGAGGAATGTGAAGAGAGGAAGAAAAAAAAATTAAAATAATTGCAAATATTAAGATATTCTTACCTGGTTGCTTCATCTAGAAGAAGGATTTTGGGATTCTGAAGAAAAAGAAACAGTAAATTTAATGGAAAAACACAAACTCTGTAGCAACAAGAAAAAATTAAGTATTCATATATGCTGCAAAATGGTGGTGGTGGCTGGATGGCTAGACATTAATTCTGACTCTCAGGGATATCACATGACAGAGCAGGCCTACGTCATAGGATTTTCTTAGATGTAATATTTATGGGAGCAGTGGCCAGTTGTGTCCCATGTGAAGCTGCTGGTTGAGTCAAACCATCAACCATTTAGTCAGCAGTGGGGTATGTAACCACTATACTACCAGGTTGCAGACAAACCACACATTGTACTAAGAAGTCAGACACAAAGGACTGTATATAGTCTAATACCCTTTACCCTAATGGTATTTCTGATCACTCCAAAATGCTCAGAAAAGACAATTCTACGGAACAGAAAGTAAATCGGGTGTGGGCTGCACTGGTTACTCCAAGGGGAACTTTCTGGAATGAAGAAATGTTCTAACATTGCATTGCATGTACCATTTACACAACCTTGTCAAGTTAATGAAAAGAAATTTTATACACTTGAATTTATTTAAATAATTTGTCTATGTTGTTGTGTACTGTAGAGTTGGAGTCAACCCATAGTTGACCCTCTGGCAGGTTTTCAGAGGCAGTTAACTACACAGGAGGTGACTGCCATCCTCTTCCCGCAGAGCAGCTGGTGGCCTCAGACTGTGTGCCTTTGAGATTGCAGAGCAGCTTCTTGCCACTAGGCCACCAGAGAGCTTTATTATATATACTTTTCTTTTTTAAAAAAAGTAAATATCTTATTAGCCAGATTTATTCTGATTTCATTATTAATTCATGCAAGCATGATCTTACATAGTACAGAACTTGAATAGAGCAGTTTGCTCTACTAGTACAGAAGTGATGACCTTGTTCCTGTCCCCAGTAAAGAGTATGATGATAAATATTTATTGCCTGTATCTCTGTAACAAGTCTCAAACATATCTCAGACTGATGGACAGGTGGACTGGTGAATAGGCACACAAAAATGTTTAATTCACTTCTCCCTAGCCAAACAGAGTCCCTCTACTAGGTCTCTGAGGCTGTAAATGCTTATTGAGAGAGGCTGCCCAGCCTTCTCCCTTGAAGGGACTGATGGATTTGACCTGCTTTCTTCTGGTTAATTTTCTGGTTAACAAGCTGACAATAAACAGTTTTCTATATTTCACATACACATTATCTTGAAAATTGTTGATAGCTGCACTCAATTAGCCTGGAATCATGATGACCCCAGAACAACAGAACAGAACAAAACACTGCTTGCTATCAAGTCAACTTGACAACTGGAAAACGATGTAAGTTGGAAGGCTCTTCCCAGGAACCTGAGCTCCTTTCAGTGATCTCTTAGGAATTATGTTACCCTGGGGCTCTCGTGTCCAGCAAAGACCTCATCTCCAAAAATGGCAGCTCCATCCCAGGGACATCATGCACATATGCTGGACATTTCTATAATATACACTTTAATAATATATCTAGAAATACATATTTTAAAAAATCATTTTATTGAGGTATGGTATGTATATAAATTCACCTCAAGAGAACTGTATTTAAAAATACTACACCTAAGCCAGAAAGCCATTACATAGCAAAGGTATTTTTAAAATCTACAGTTTCCTAAAAAATGGAATGCCTTTGCCTTTAAGCTAAAATAGTCCTCTCACAACTCACTGGGGAGCACTTAATGTGTATACTGCACAATTTAGCAGTCAATTACATATTACATAATTGAGAATACTAACTATTCTGGACATTGACAGTCACCATTTCACTAGTTGGACAATATGCTGCTCAGTGAAGGACCACATGTTAAGCTTTTCTCTCTCTGGCATTCCTAGTACCTGGCTCCCGATACCAACAAAATATCTGTTATGTTTAGACAACACACCCTCAGTGAAATCTAAACTATCAACTGTATACATAACCTCCACCTTCCAAAATAGAACAAAAAGTGTGAACAACAACAACAAAAAAAATCCACTCTCATATTTTAGTAAGTTTAAACCAATACAAACACAAACTAAAAATCAACCCAGTCAGTGGCTTACCTTGAGCAGAGCACGTGCAATTGCAATCCGCTGTTTCTGTCCACCTGACAAAGATATTTTTATTTTACCAAAAATCTTAACAAAAATTCTTGGCATTAAGCATTTACGTTAAATCCTGTGGAAATTTGATGGCAACATCTTCCAATCAGTCAAAAAACACAACTCCTGAGACAAAAAACACAACTCCTGAGACATATTTGTTTATTCTTTCAGCATTTTGTGAGATATTCAGTCCCCATCAGCAGGAACTCTGGTGTCTTAGTGGCATGAGGCTGCACTGCAATCCCAAAATCATGTGGTTCAAGGCCACCAGCTGCTCTGCAGGAGAAAGATGGGCAATCTTTTCCCATGCGATTAACTGCTTCTGAAAACCAACTGGAGGGTCAGTCCTGACTCAAAGGTACACAACACACAACAACTTCTCCATCATCAAAATTCAAAGGAATCAATTCTGTCATCTTTATTCACTGTCCAACTCTCAGATGTATACAAAGCAACTGAAAGTACCACAGCTTGCACAAGGCACCACTTAGTCTTTAAACTGACATCCCTAGGGATTCTGAACATGTCTTCATGTGTTTGTTTGCCAACTGAATGTCTTCTTTGGTGAAGTGACTATTTATTTTTATCTTGTGCCTATTTTGTGTTTGGGTTGTTTACCTTTTTCTTGTTGAGATGTTGGAGGGTTCTCTAAATTTTAGGTATGAGTCCTTATCAGATGTCTTGTCAAATATTTGTTTTTCCCAGTCTGTGGGTTTCCTTTTTGATCTGTTGGAGAAGTTTTTTGATGTGCCTGCAATTTAATTCTTAGGTGGTACCATTCATTTATTTTACTTTCTCCTGGTTGTAGGTTTGTCATTATGTGTGGAAATCTGTTCATCCTGAGAATTATGGCTTCTAAGGTTGTTCCTAGGTTTTCTCTGACAAATTTTTTAGTATTTGGTTTTAGTCCTAGGTCCCTAAATCCACTTTGAGTTGATTTGTGTGTCTGATGTGAGAGGTGGGTCTTGCTTGAGTTCTCTGCAGATAGTTTTCCAATTTTGCCAACACCATTTGTTCAAAAGGCTGCCATTTCCTCACTTAACTAATTTCATCTCCTTGTCAAAAATCAGTTGACCATAGGCAAATGAGATGATTTCTTGGTTTTCAGTTCCATTCCACTCTATGTGTCTGTCACTGCACCAGGACTAGACTGTCTTGACCACCACAGCTGTGTAGAAGGATTTGAGATCAGGGAATGAGATGCTTCCTACCTTGTTTTTCTTTTTCAGGAGTGCCTTTACTTATTCAGGGTCTATTTCCATTGCAGATAAGGTTGGAAATTGCCTTTCCCATCTCACTGAAGGATGGAATTGGTATCTGTATTGGAATTGCTTTGAACTTGTAGACTGCCTTTGGTAGAATTGTCATTTTCATGATATGGAGTCTTTCTATCCATTAACATGGTATATGCTACCATTTCTCCAGGTCTCTTTTTGTTTCTTAATGTTTTGTAATTTCTATATATATATGTCTTTAGTGTCTCTAGTTAGATTTGTTCTCAAGTTTTTAATCCTGTGATTAGCTACTGCAATGGGTATTATTTTTCTTAGCTCCATTTCTGTATCTCTTTGTCACTGTAGAGAAATCCAATTTATTTCTGTATGTTGAATCTTGAATCCTGCTACTTTGCTGAATTGGTCAACTGTGGCCAGTAGCTTTCTCATGCAATCTTTAGGGTTTTCTAAGTATACTATCATGCCATTTGCACATAAACATAACTTTACTTCCTCTTTGCCAATTTGGATACCTCATACTTCTTTCTCTTATCTGTGGCTATTGTTAAGACTTCCAATACAGTACTGAATAGGAGAGGTGACAGTGGGCATCCTTGTTTAGTTCCTATTCTCTAAGAGAATGCCTTTAATCTCTCTCCATAGAGAATGACGTTGGCTCTTGGTTTTGTGTATATACTTTTCACTATGTTGAGGAAATTCCTCGCTGCTCCTATTTAGTTGCATGTTTTAATCAGGAAAGGGTGTTGGATTTTATCTAAGGCCTTTTCTACATTAATGGATGGCATTATGTGGTTCTTGTTCTTTGCTTTGTTAACGTGATGAATTACATTAATAGTGTCTTTTGATTCTTGACTGCTGGTGCCATGGATATTGATTGGGAATCTGAGTAAGATGAAATCACTGACAACTTTAATCTTTTCTTTATCTATCATGATGTTGCTTGCCTATTGGTCTAGTAGTGAGGACTTTTGTTTTCTTGATGTTGAAATAAAACCCATAGGGAGCTCTGGTGGCCTAGTGGCAAGAAGCTGCACTGCAAGCTAAGAGGTATGCGGTTTGAATCCACCAGATGCTCTACTGGAGAAGGAGAGGCAATCTCCTCCTGTACCAGTCAGATCTGATTTAGCAGTACACACAAAAGATAATAAAATTTAAAAAAAAAAAAGAAAGAAATATAACCCATAATGAAAGTTGTAGTCTTTGATATTCTTCAATCAGTGTTTCAAGTCCTCCTCACTTTCAGCAAGTAAGGCTGTGTCATATGCTTAATGCAAGTTGTTAATGAGTCTTCCAATACTGATTTGGCTAAAAGGAAAGTTCATCATTTACAACTGAAGCATGTTTCAGTTAAATGCTGTCCTCAAACAAACCATTGCATACCATGAGGGTAAGTAAAGGAAATGCATTTCTTTCCACAATCTTCCTATTGGTGTAGGTATTGGAGTGACTGAAGCACTCAGCTGATGGCTTTCATAACCTCTGAGAAATCCTTGGTGCCAATGGTGCACTAGGAATCTATTGCTGCATACTCTTCTTCTCAGAGAGAATAGCATCTTTGGCTACTTCGCTATAAAGTGAAAGGCATGAGATGATCTCCTTCAAGGAAACTAGAGGGTAGGGAGAGCATGCCACTGACTGTCACAAAATCTTCTTGTACCCTCATGCTCTGTGATTTCACCAGAAGCAGCTTAATCCCTCTCTAGGTGATGTCCAATCTCAAGGTGGAGTTCAGAGATGAAGAGCAGTTAACTTTTACACAGCAATCTCTAGTTCTCTTGGAGTTCCCTGTGTCTATCAAAAAAAGAAGACAATGGGTGACATACACTGAGTCTTGAAAGAACTGAACTTATCAGGCAACAATAATATGCCCAGCAAAACTGTCATTCAAAATTGAGGGTGAAATTAAGATACTCCCAGATAAACAGAAATTATGGGAATTTCTAACTACCAGACCTGACCTACCAAAAACATTAAGAAGAGTCCTCCAAAAAGGAAATAAACAGGAGTAAACCAATAGGAGTCTGCAACCAAGGTTAGTGACATTGAATAGCCACTTGAATATATATCACAACAAAATAAATTATAGGAAATCTAAGATACAAAGTTGAAATAAGCAGTAAAAGGAAATGTGATTAGTTTAATACAGAATTTTTAGACACTGCAGAAGTTAAAGGCAGTTTTGAAAAATAGCATTGTTTAAAAAAAAATAAAATTTAAAAAAAAAAAAGAAAAATAGCATTGTTTTAAATATAGGGCAGTAAGTGTTTAAACGTAGTATACCCACAAAGTAAATAGATCTGCTAATGAAAATTAAGAAAAATGACTCACAATACCCAAAACAGCAATAATTAATAAAAGGGATTTTTTTTAAAATTTACACACTGGACATAAATGGGAACATAGAAGCCATTAACCTCACACAAAAATAATATAGCAAAATTCTTAGATTGGATAAAAATGGAAGAAAATAAGGCATACCCTGAGGGACACAGAAGTAAAAGGGTAAAAAAAGAAAATCAAATGATTGTGGGGATAAGGAATAAGAAAAAAAAAACCCCACAGTAATCTAAAAAACAGTATCAATATTTTTAGCAATATAAGTATCTTACAAATAAACTTGAAGTTGAAATTCGTCAAAACAAAGGACATTATGACAAAGAACCAATCTCCTAGAAAACACAGCAGTTATAAAAATTTACATATCTGATTTCAGATATGTAAATTTCAGAGCCCTGAAATTTATAAAGCAAACACTTAGAGAATAAAAGATTCAAATGCTGTAGACTAACAGTTAACCAGTTAGATCTAACTCAAATGTCTATATATGTCTATGTGTCATAACCAGATAACAGCACTTCAATATATGTTCTATACCACTGCACACTGACCATTCTCTAGAATAAATAAACCATTTTCAGGACACAAAATAACGGAAATACTGAAAAATCAGTGAGTTGTAGAAAAATTTTAAACTAGTTAAAATCTTTGGGACATAGTGAAAGCAGTGCTCAGCATGAAATTCAAGGCTCAGTGCTATACCATTGCTACACTTTTTATTATGTTGACATGTATGATATCTATTATGTTGCCATTTGCACTTGTGAAGCAAAAGCACCGACTAAAATGGCTTTATTTTTAGTTTGAATCAAGGCAGAGACCACGCTAACAGTAGTTAACAAGAAAAATGTAATGCCAGTTTCATTTAAGAATGTAACTGATGAAGAAATAAAAGTTATTTATTTTTTTTTAATTTTTATTTTATTATTTTTGTGTGAGTGTACCATCAAATCAGATCTGACTGGTACAGGAGGAGATTGTCCCTCCGTCCCCGGCAGAGCATCTGGTGGATTCGAACCATGCGCCTCTGGGATTGTAGTTGCAGCTCCTTGCCACTAGGCCACCAGAGCTCCCCATAAAATTTATTTTATTGAAACTTTAAAAAAACCCAAACCAAACATCTTTTTATCCACTTAGAATGGTATTCATAATCACACAGTCAACTTAAAGCGTCTGTTTTAAATTTCCTGTGGTCTCACTGAGAAAGTTTCAAGTTAGAAGGACTGTTGCTGGAGGACATCTAGCCTCACTGCTAACCAACACCCTGATGTAGAGGTATTGTTCTTTGCTCAAACATTTCCAATGATAGAGAACACGGAAGGAAACACACTGCAAAATGTACACTGAGGAACCATATGTGTTTAACTGCAAATTTTATTCCCTTTAAATTCTACTCATTAAAGACATTTCTGGTCTCTGTTGTTGAGTGCAGTTGAGACAGGACTTATAGCTGACCCTATAGTGGGCTTTCAAAAGCTGTAAATTACACAGGAAGAGACAGTCCATCTTTCTCCTGCAGAGAACTGGTAGATTTGAACTGCCCATCTCTCGACTGGCAATACAACTCCTTACCTACTACCAAAAAAACCAAACTACTAAAAAAAATATGGTACTCAATATAAGATGTAATATGCTAGGTGTGATTTGATCATCTCAAGGAATAGGAGTTTGTAAATTCTCCTATTAGTCAGGCACAGTCAGGCAACAAATCTGAACCCAGTTTGTTTTGCACAGCCCTTAAGTTATGGGTGGTAGGAAGCTGCGTTGAAGTCCCAAAGGCACATGGTACGGATGCTCTGTGGGAGAAGGATGAGCAATCCCCTCCTGTGTGATTTACTGCCTCAGACAATCCACTGGAAGGTCAGCTATGAGTCATTTCCAATTCAATCTACACACCAAGCTAAGAAAGGTGGAGAGTCAGAGAAAGAGAAGAAGGCCTTCTCTTGTGGACTGATACAGTGACTGTATAACAATAGCCTTGAGAATATCAGAAATGATACGGATAGAGTAGGATAGGACAAGGTTCATATCTGTTGTTCCTGTGATCTCTAGGAACTGACTGTATCTCAATAGCAATAAATTTGATTTTGAGCTTTGGCTACAAAACATCTTTTGTCAGCTGAGATAAGTTTGCTGTGTATCCCAGAGGCGCATGGTTCAAATCCACCAGATGCTCTGCCGGGGAAGGAGGGGCAATCTCCTCCTGTACAAGTCAGATCTGATTTGACGGTACACTCACACAAAAATAATAAAATTTAAAAAAAAAAAAGTTTGCTGTGGCTAAGCATTCCTCAATAGGAATTCTGGGAATATACATGAAACTGAAAGTGAAGGAGACTAGGGTAGAGGTCGGAAAGTGGTGAGACCAACTCGTTCAAATCTAGAACAAAAACTTGCTTAGAAAATTGCAGAATTCTGCAATATGAAAGTATCAGGGCACTCCTTGGGACAGCTGATGCAAAAAAGCAGTAATAAAAGCATACCTGAAAGGAGAATTCCCTTTTCCCCAACCACAGTATTAAATCCATCAGGAAAATGTTTAATGAAGGTGGCTGCATTGGCCATATCAGCTGCCCTTTCCACTTGCTTGGCAGTCACATGGGTAGGGTCGTCTGCACCATAAGCAATGTTCTCAGCAATTGTACAGGAAAACAAAATTGGTTCCTACAAATTGGAAATAAAATATTATTTACCGTAATTTTCAGAACACTCTTCAAACATCACTAATAATTAGAATGGAGCTTGATACGGTCATTGTTGTTACTGTTATGTGCCATCAAGCCAACCATGACTCATAGTGACCCTATGCACAATAGCTCTGAACTCTGCTCTATCCTGGGGCAATCTCACTGTCTCTGATATATTGTACCTCCATTACCTTAGCTACTGTGTCAATCTATCCTATCTGGGGTCTTCCTCTCCTGCACTGCTTCTCTGTTCTTACAAGCAAGATGTCCTTCTCCAAGAACTGGTCCTTTCTGGCAACATGGCCAAAGTATGTCAGAAGAAGCCTCAAAATCCTTGCCTCCAAGGAACAGCCTGGCTTCCCTCTCTCCAAGATAAACTTATTATTTCTCTTAGCCGTCCATGGTATGTTCCATACTCTTCTCCAGCATCACAACTCAAAGGCATCAATTCTTCTGTCCTCTTCAGTCATTGTCCAGCTCTCTGAGGCATAGCAAGTAATTGCAAAGAGCATGGCCTGGATCAAGCACACCTTAGCCTCTAGACTGACATAAAAAATGTGGCTAGCCTTGAGAACAATGGGAATCCCAGAAGACCAGATTGTGTAAATGTGAAGACTACACTTTGACGAGGAGACTGTCATCAGAACAGAGCAAGGGCACCTGTTGTTGTTGTTGTTATGTGCCATCGAGCCATTTGCGACTCATAGCGACCCTATGTACAACAGCCCTAAACCCTGCTCTATCCTGTGCCAATCACACTGCCCCTGACACACCCAT